GTTTGCTATCCTGGAAAGGTTAAAATTAATGGAAATAGTTGACAGTCCACTCCATCCACCATTCTTGGTTTCGGGTGTCCCTGGGGTAAAAACCGAACGAAGTTCTTATTTCCACAAAGACGAGGTAATCCATTGTTTGTCGCCGTTTACCGAGCCGATCACCCACATATATAAAACCTACCAGACGATCTCAGGTACCGGGGTGATCCCTTAGTTAACATTGATGTCTACACCTCGGTCTGCGGGGTAATGGGCGGTGCCCTCCCCATATCACTCTCCCAACCAATTCCTTAACTTAGTGTTATTATCACTGATTTCACTACAATTCACAAGATGACTTAACATCTTGTGAATTTTACACACATTAGAGGTCGCTCCATTAAGATCTGAGCTCAATGAGCGTCGATTAACTAGTCTGGTAATCTTCCCCCCGAACACTTGTCATGGCGTGCCCCGTCGGACCCGCTTGGCGTCCCTCACTATTTACTAATTTTACCACCTGGTAATAATGGTCCAGCAAATTACGTTCCTTCACTCTTCATTAGGAACAGTTACGACACTTCCTATTATGAAGTGGGACCACTAATCACGTTTCGACCGTCAGAACTGCCAATTTCCTAGTTCCATTTTAACTAGCACACTCTCCCAGGCCTATACCCCCATTGAGACTCCCGATGCCCCCGTCTCGACCTCCCCTCTGCCCATCGGTGCAGGTGCAGAGGTTCCCTGTTGGTTCTTTTCCTTTTTCAAATACATTTTTTGACCAACAGTAATGCATTATTCATGTATATTTACATTATAAAAAATATACAATATAATTTTGGGAAATTATTTTCCACAATAATCATCATCATCATCATCATCATCATAATAATAATAATAATAATAATAATAATAATAATAATAATAATAATAATAATAATAATAATAATAATAAGAAGAAGAAGAAGAAGAAGAGGAAGAAGAAGAGGAAGAAGAAGAAAAGAAGAAGAATCTTTATTTTTACAAGTACGTGTACAAGGTATACAGTCCTAGCTGACATCAATGACATACTGCTATTTAGTAAGCCCTTCGGGGAAATTAGGTAAGTTTTGTCCCCAGGATGCGATACACACCAGTTGACTAACACCCTGGTACCTATTTTACTGATAGGTAAATAGGAACAGCAGGTGTCTTAAAGAAACATTCTAATGTTTCTACGCGTACTGGGGATCGACCCAGGGACCTCACTGTGTGAGATGAGTGTGCTAGCACTCGAGCTACGGGATACCTAACATGACTCCTTGTATCACATTAGGTATCCTGTTAAGTGTACTGGAATGCCGTAAAATCAATGAATTCAGAGGCAACTCACTCAGAAATATTTAAGAAATGTCAAAGTATTATATTATGAGCCATTCTGGAAAAATACTCTGACTTTGCCCACTGATCCACCATGAGGCCTGGTCTCAGACCGGGCCGCGGGGGCGTTGACCCCTGAAACCCTCTCCAGGTATATTGTAAATAATGCAGTACCACTCAAACGTGTGCGTGTGTATGTGAGTGTGTGTGTGTGTGTGTGTGTGTGTGTGTGTGTGTGTGTGTGTGTGTGTGTGTGTGTGTGTGTGTGTGTGTGTGTTGTGTGTGTGTGTGTGTGTGTGTGTGTGTGACCTAATTTATGTCTGTATAAATAACTCATTACGATTGTAACCAGATAAAAACAGTTATCAAAACTTTGGGGTCCAGTCCCTGGACCCATTATGTACCTCTGTAATCTTTTGACTACCGCCCACAGGACGGGTATGGGGTGCATAATAAACAAATTAAATTAAACTGGTAGACTCTGTTACAAACTGCTTCAAAAAACAGTCCTGAACTATTTCAAGGAAGTCATTTGACTTCAGATTACTGGTCAAAGAAGTCCAGTAAATTTGACTAAAGTTAAAAATCTCTTACTATTACTAGAGTATCATGTCTAGACGCCCCATGGTGTCCTATGGCCTAGTAGGCAACGCTCTCGCCTCACACCAAGTGTCTGTGGTTCAGTTCCCAGCCGGGTGGAAACACTGGGCAAGTTTTCTCACAACTGCTGTTCCCGTTTACCTGGGTGTTAATTGCCTGGTGTGGGTCATCCTGGTGAACAAGATTAAAGGATCTCAATGGAAATAAAACAGAGAGTCCTTAATGATGCACAGATTTTCTTGGGTTATCCTAGGCAGCTAACCATCCAGGGTTAAAAATCCGAGCAAAATCTTATTTTATCTTATCTTAAAAATTTCGTCCCCTTTGTTTGGGGGTCGGAATATTACACATTAAACAAATTTTTCTGTGTCTAATCTATCGATATTTTAGCTGTTTTATACAACAATTCATATTATCTGGTACATATAACAATACTCCACCACCTTCCCTTTGTTTATATCAACATGGTGGCAGGAAGGATTTCCTTTTTTTTTTTTTCATTCGTTTTCAATGCAAATTTTACTGTGAATTAAACAGCATTTGAAACCTGCACACCGTGTTTGTAGTGACCTTTTGTCTTAAAAGATAGACAAAAAAAAATAAGGCTTTATTTTATAAGGTATAAAACAATGCTTAAATTGCAAAATTGGTAAGATGTACAATGTTCTAGTTGACATCAGAGAAAGATAAAGGTTTAGATAATTATGTGAATACCTGCTTTTGAGCGAAATGTCAATAGATTGCATAATAAAAAATGCTGGTTTGTCTTTTTTTCTGGAAAAATTTAAATAAAAGCAAAACGGTAAGGAATATAGCAAATCCCTGTTACCATTGAGTAGAACCATCATTCCTCAATAATGTGTACAAAAATTATGACAATCCACCAAGTAGTTTTCACAATGCATCGAAAGATTAATAACACATTCCTGAGAAGAAAAGAAATTCCATTTTCTGTAAAACTACGGTCACAGCGCCAGACTTCAGCACAGCGTACACCTCCCCTCCTGTCGGCAGCTCACAGGTGACTGAGAAGCTCTAACTCTGAGCAATAAGAGTTGAAAGACAAGATGCCATGTAGTGTATTTGGAAATTGTAAATTTTAGTGTAACAAAAAAAAAAAGAAAAAACAAACAAACACAGAAATTGGTATAATGTCTTCTTGATGACAGCAAGAACAAAAAAAATTACATTTTTGGAAAAAGATACTTAGAAATATGACAGAAACAAGCTGATTGCATCAACATGTTGATGCAATCAGCTTGTTTCTGTCATATTGGAAAAGAAAATAACATGGCAATTTATAATTGCCATGTTTTTTTTTTCCAATGCATTTGTCTGTACTAAACTGCATCTTCCAGTTACTGACCACTGCATCAGTCTCTTCAGGTCTTGTTCTAGCTCTCTAGTGTCTCTCATCTATGTTGTATAAGCATATTGTGAACAAAAAAAGTCCCAACTCTGACCCCTGTGCAACAGCACTTGCGATGCGTCCACACTGTCAACCACTCTTCTACCCAAGAAAATATTTCTCCTCCTTCTCTGCCCTCAAAGAAGGTTCCTTGATGTTGGTGAGGGGCTCTTGATTTAGGGAATTGGATCTGTGCTCCAGTTCCCCGAATTAAGCCTGAATGCCTTCCACATCCCCCCCCCCCAGGAGCTGTATAATCCTCCGGGTTTAGCGCTTCCCCCTTGATTATAATAATAATAATAATAATAATCCTTCTCTGAGTGCCTCTGCTCTCCTCAACATTGATAAAGTTCCTCATTTCGGACGTGGAACTCTATCAAAAGTCTTACTGACGACCATATACACAGTATCATATTCATTACCATGATCTATCAAATATTAATTTATAATACGAGAACGCCTTCATTCGAGAGGCTTCAAAATTTCAACACTGATGTGTCCTATTTACGCACTGGCCTGGAATATTACGACTCACTTGCCATGGGTTCTAACCCATCTGTACCCTGGTTGTGTTCAGTCGTGTTATTACGATTTCGTGAGTAAAGTTGGTATTGTTAATGGAGTGCGTTGGCGTCATCTTGCCACTTGTAATCCCGAAAAGATATTATATTATTGTACATTATTAATCCAGGGAACTAGACTTATCCTTCTCTTCACTTGGTTCGAATCTGAGTCCATCACGTTCCATGGGCGTTGGATGACGCTTGCTAATTTAACGCTTTCCCCTGAATAAAATATTACAATTGTGAATGACATCAATCTTGAATGGATAAAAAAAATCTTGGTTTTTATGCGACATATTGGAACATTTTGCTGACTTCTTTGTAACAACTGGAAAATGCTTCATCTGGTTTGAAACTCTTACTGATGATGTGTTTTTCTCAAGGAAAGTTTTGCCTTGATTTAAGATTGTATAAGCTAAGTAAGTTTTAGTAATCAAATTGATTTCTGTGAAATAACTGGAAAATGTTTTTTTTCTGATCAGAGATACAACGCGGTTTAACTTTATTGGTTTATACCATTAATGGTATAATCATTAAATTTAGTAAATATTCTTTAATCTTACTTTAATACCTTACCTATATATACTTAAAGCTTGGTTTAGATGGAAAATCATTATAGGAAAATTGGATTTATTTTAATAACGATTTTCGTGGGATTAATTTTGAATGTGTCAATTACCTTCATCTTTCAACGTTTTCATGTAATATCTCAATCTGACTGACTTCAGTTATGTACTGTGTTTACCTAAGATCACTTCAACCTACATAAGGAAATACACTAGAGAAAGTTCTTTATTTTTCAGATTTTCGTTTTAATAATAGTTTTGATGTCTTTAACGTTTTATCTGTCCTAGTTTGGCATGTTTATCGACAAAAGTGATGTTAGTGTTCATGAGATAATTTGTGAAACCAAATCTCTTTTGCTTAAAATTTTCATTAGTTATATTTATCTTCATTATAAATTTGTCACGCTCTGCAATAATCTTTGTGTTTACTGAGGTACAGGAGACTGAGGTTATGCAATACGTTGATATCTTCCTCGTATCACGCAGCGACCAGAACACATATCATTATTTCTAATATTACAGGAAGGTGGGTTCTTCGTGGAGGCTGGCGCCCTTGATGGTGTGCTGCTGTCAACGACGCTGACGCTGGAGCAGAACCAGGCTTGGACTGGTCTTCTAGTGGAGCCAAGACCAGACATGTTTCATCAGCTGCTCAACACACACCGCAAGGCCTACGCCGCTAGATTCTGCCTCTCAGAGAAACCTTATCCTCACAAGGTAACCAAATTTATTCGTTCTTTCCACTTTGTGATCATCCACTCTTCTGACTCATAACAAAAGCACCTCTTTGCTGTTGTTATTGTTGATATTGTTGTTGCAAAATTGTGCCAACAGTAACAAGTAATGATTAAAAAAAGCTCCGGAAAACCGAAGAATTTTTACTGTTAGAAGTACATAACGTTTTAATGTAGTAAACTTTCTTAAGTGAATCTCTATTGTTATTGTTGTTGTTGTTCCTCTTCTTATTCTGTGGATTTTTTTTTACATAATTTCCTAAATGTAAAATATATAAATGAATAATATAATAATTTTGTATTAAAATGTGATGCTATTTGGACCCTTCGAGAAATTTCGAGGTGGGGGGGGGGTGCAGAACAACCGTTTGTCACAGGAAGACACTTAATGCTGAGGGATACACACCCTATCGCTGCCAATACATCTAGAATTTACAATGGCCAATCTAAAAAGTACTGTACCTTATGGGTAAACATCACTTAGCTAAGGTGTGTTGCTAAGAAGGATTAGAGTCCTCTATTTTTCCATCCTTATTGCCGAATTGTAAGATTTTTCCACACTATTTTTCACATTTCTTCCACAGGAACGTGTCAGCAATTTCTAAATTACGGACTGAGGCTAATATACATCAACTGACTTTCAAGAAGCTCTGATTCATATCAGAGTTCAGACCAGTATTCATACATTAAATTCATTATGGTGTCTCTTCTCCGTGTCCCTCTGCCACTGTTCTACACCCTCCTTCACTAGAAATTTCTTGAAAGAGTCAAATCAGCATCACAAAATTTTCCACACTTGTTATGTCTAAGTCAATGGTGGCTTTCATTAAAACACGTACATTACCTCACTTGGAATTAACAGCCATTTACATATTTGTCAAATTAGCTAATTATGTGAGAGATAAACTGCAGGAGGATACCCTGACTTTGCTAGCTGTAAATAATGCATTACCACATGTGTGTGTGTGTGTGTGTGTGTGTGTGAGTGTGTGTGAGTGTGTGTGTGTGTGTGTGTGTGTACTCACCTAGTTGAGGTTGCGGGGGTCGAGTCCGAGCTCCTGGCCCCCGTCTGTGTGTGTGTGTGTGCTGGTGTGTGTGTTGTGTACTCACCTAATTGTACTCACCTAATGTGGTTGCAGGGGTCGAGAGTCAGCTCTTGGCCCCGCCTCTTCACATGATCGCACTATGGTCCTCTCCCTCTCTGCTTACTGAGCTTTGTCATACCTCTTCTTAAACTATGTATGTTCCTGCTCCACTACTCACTTGCTAGGCTATTCCACTTCTGACGACTCTATGACTGAAGAAATACTTCCTAACTCCATGTGACTCGTCTGAGTCTTCAGCTTCCAGTTGTGACCCCTTGTTTCTGTGTCCCCTCTCTGGAACATCCTATCTCTTGTCCACCTTGTCTATTCCCCGCAGTATCTTGTATGTCGTTATCATGTCTCCCCTGACCCTTCTGTCCTCCAGTGTCGTCAGTCCGATTTCCCTCAACCTTTCCCCGTACGACATTCCCCTGAGCTCTGGGACTAGCCTTGTTGCAAACCTTTGTACTTTCTCTATTTTCTTGACGTGCTTTATCAAGTGCGGGTTTCCAAACAGGTGCTGCATACTCCAGTATGGGCCTGACATACACGGTGTACAGTGTCTTGAATGATTCCTTACTAAGGTAATCGGAATGCTGTTCTCAGGTTTGCCAGGCGCCCATATGCTGCAGCAGTTATCTGATTGATGTGTGCTTCCGGAGACATGCTCGGTGTTATACACACCCCAAGATCTTTCTCCTTGAGTGAGGTTTGCAGTCTTTGGCCACCTAGCCTATACTCTGTCTGTGGTCTTCTGTGCCCTTCCCTATCTTCATGACTTTGCATTTGGCAGGATTAAATTCGAGAAGCCATTTGCTGGACCAGGTGTCCAGTCTGTCCAGGTCTCTTTGAAGTCCTGCCTGGTCCTCATCAGATTTAATTCTCCTCATTAACTTCACATCATCTGCAAACAGGGACACTACTGAGTCTAACCCTTCCGTCATGTCGTTCACATATACCAAAAATAGCACTGGTCCTAGGACCGACCCCTGTGGGACCCCGCTCGTCACAGGTGCCCACTGTGATACATCATTACGTACCATGACTCGTTGTTGCCTCCCTGTCAGGTATTCTCTGATCCATTGCAGTGCCCTTCCTGTTTATATGCGCCTGATGCTCTAGCTTCTGCACTAATCTCTTGTGAGGAACTGTGTCAAAGGCCTTCTTGCAGTCCAAGAAGATGCAATCAACCCACCCCTCTCTCTCTTGTCTTACTTCTATTATTTTATCATAAAACTCCAGAAGGTTTGTGACACAGGATTTGCCTTCCGTGAATCCGTGCTGGTTGGCTTTATACTCCTGTTCCGTTCCAGGTGCTCCACCACTCTCCTCCTGATAATCTTCTCCATAATTTTGCATACTATACACGTCAATGAACAGGTCATATTTAGTGCCTCTTTTCTGTCCCCTTTTTTAAAAATGGGAACTAATTTGCCGTCTTCCTACCTCGGATGTTGCCCGTTTCCTTTTCCCTCTCTAAGGACCCTGGAAAATGTTTTCCGGTCCCTTTGCCTTTGGGGGTATCGATGTCCCTTAGCATTTCTTCACCTCCTCCTCATCTGTATGTTTTTCGCCCAAACATTTGGGTATTCCTTCGGTGCCCCCCATCTGGTCTGCCCCCCGAGTCCTTCCGTTCTACGAAATACTTCCTTTAAATCTCGTTTTGAGCTCCTCACATACCTTTTATCGTTTTTTGTGATTCTCCACCTTTTTCCTCACCTTATCACCTGGTCCTTGACTGTTGTCTTCCTCCTAATGTGGCTTTTACCTTTTTGGGGTCAATTTGCTTTCGATGCTATGTCGTTTTCATACTGTCGCTGGCCCCTCCCCCCTTATCGGCTCCCCTTTTTTCGGGCCCTTTTTTTACTAACTCCTTGTTTTCCGGGGTCCTATGCTCCTTCCCTTTTTCCATTCTCTGTTGCACTTGTTTTTGCCCCCCACACCTTCGGGTAAACCCAAGGACTCTTTTGGTTTCCTTTATTTCTTTTCCCCCCTTTGGGAACAAAATTTTCCCTCCTTGCATTTTTTGCCCCATATTCTATCATCCTTTACTGATTTTCCTCCATTTCTCTGCCCCACTGAACCTCCTCGGGAAGTTTCTCTACCTGTTAGCCCCCCCTTTTTATAGTTTGGCCTGTCCCCTTCATTCCTGTTACTTCTCCACTTGTAACCTATATTTATCAAAACTCAGAACCACATATCGCTAGCTCAAGGGGGCCTCTCGAATGATGCCCTCAATTCGAACTGCTCGGGGTGAACACAAGATCCAGTCTTGCTGGCTCACCCTCCCCTCTCTTGGTTGTGCCCTGACATTTGATGCATGGGGTTTTTCAATCCACATCCATATCTTGGCTTCCATGTTTGGGACCCCCAGTGGCTCCGGGTTTTTCCCAGCAAACCCCCTGTGGTTAAAATCGCCCATTCCGTAACTTTGCTCTGCTCGGTGAGCTTTCCCTTTTTTGCCACCTCAGCCAGTGTGTCCACCTCCCCCTTTTGTTTTCTTGTACTCCTTCTTGGCCTCCTGCAGTTCTGTGGTGGTTATACATCACTCCAATGATACTTTATTTCTCCGGGACAAATTTGTACCTCAATGAGTCTCTTTCTCAATCATGTCCATGCCTTTTCCTTTCCCAAATCCCCCTTGGTGTTTTATGACAGTGCAACCCCTCCTCCCCCTCTACCCTTCTATTTTTCCTCAGGATCTTATCCGTTGGGAAATTGTGTCTGTTTTGTCTCACGAGTTTTGTTTCTGTGACTGCTTGATGTCTGGGGGTTTTTCACGATTCTTTCATTCCACTCCCATGTTTATTCGTTATTCCATCCGGTTTTTTGTACCAAACCTTTTGTTTCTTTTCTTCATTGTGGTCATGCAAGAATATTGGGGGTTGGGGAGCGAGAGCCTTGGGGGGGCCTATATGGGGTTTGTTGAGTGGGGTTTGTGTTTATGGGGGTGGGGGCAGAATGCCCCTAAGGGACAGCTGTTGGGGGGGAGGTTTTTGGGTATGGGGGTTTTGGGGCAGAGGGAAAAGGAGTGGGGGTTTTAGATAGGTTTCTCAGTTTTCGTTGGGAATGTCGGGGTGGAGTCTTTTGGTGGAGATTCGTGGGGTGTTTTTGCCCTTCCTCCCGTGTCTGGGGCCCCGTCATTTTCATTGCTTCTCGTTCCTCCTTTCTCTCTGTACCCCCTTTTCAGGTAGTCCCTTTTTTCTTTGTTCTGTCGCGGGCGAGGGGATACTCTCTGGTTCCCCTTTTGTCCCCCGTCTTTCTTTCTCTTGAGAATCCTGGTTCGAACGATTCTTCCTTAAAGTTACTCGAAGGCCCATCCCCCACCTCGCAAACCACCCAATTCTCTGGAAAAATTTTTCACCTGGGTCAATTGCCCCCCCTATTGTTTTCATGATGCCTTCAATCATTTTTTTTCTCCCCCTGTTTTATTTCTTCAAAGTTGGCCCCCTTGGCTTCTTGGAGCCCCTACACAAAAAATGACCTCGCCTTTTTTTCCTCCCACTGATCCCATCTGCTTCCCCTTTAGGGTTTATTTCCTTCCATTACGTTCTTTCCTTTATCCCTTTCATATCTGAAACTTTATTCTCATGAACTGCTTTTTGACCCGCGTCCCCGCTACTGCGTTGGCTGTTGAATTCGCATATAACAAACCTTTTATGTCTTCGGACCTGTCGCTTGTCTTAGGGCCACGTTTTTCCCCCGGCCCCCGGGGTCGAAGGGGCCTTCATGTACGGTGTTCCGTTTTTGCTTTCCATCCCCTTGCTGCGCCTGCTTTGAATTTCCGATGTCACACTGAATTTTCATTTTTCTCTTAAAACTGTTTCAGGCTTTGCGTTTCCTTCTAAGCACTTTATCCCAGGGTTTTGCTGCTAAGACCTGATTCCCACTTTCCCGCACTCTTCAGCTTTTCCCCCCTCCATTTTTTACCCAAACTCTACTATCTTTCCTTTTCCCCACTCTTCCCCCCTTTTTTGGGGCTCAATCCCAGTCTTTTCCCCCCTGGTTTTGTCTTCCAGATCTCGGTTTTCCTCCCTAAGGCCACCCATATTTTTTTTTTTTTTTTTTTTTTCTTTTTTTTTTATTTCCACAGCAGAAGGTAGAGGAGGGGGGGGGGGGGGGGAGAAGAAAAGGGGGTTTGTGTTGTACTCACCCATTTTTACTCACCTATTTGGTTGCAGGGTCGAGTCACAGCTCCTGGCCCCGCCTCTTCGCTGATTGCTACTAGGTCCTCTCTCTCCCTGCCCCATGAGCTCTATCATACCTCGCCTTAAAACTATGTATGGTTCCTGCCTCCACCACATCACTTTCTAGGCTATTCCATGGCCTGACTACTCTATGACTGAAGAAATACTTCCTAACATCCCTTTGATTCATCTGAGTCTTCAACTTCCAATTGTGACCTCTTGTGTCTGTGTCCCATCTCTGGAACATCCCGTCTTTGTCCCACCTCGTCTATTCCGCGCAGTATTTTATATGTCGTTATCATGTCTCCCCTGACCCTCCTGGCCTCCAGTGTC